AACATGAAATTTGGAAAAAGAGAAATTACATGTAAACAACAATTGCCTTCATGTCAATTCTTGAAAATAATTCCTAAAACATTTTCTTTTAACTGCAGTCACCATAGTGAAAGTGTTCCTTTTAAATGAGAATCAGTAGTTTAACTGTCACCAAAAAGGATCCTAATGGTGAGGGTCATTCTTTAACAGCTAAAGGAGAAGGCTGGAAAGATGATTTGAGGTCAAGATCAGGCCAGCCTTGGCCTTACTGAAACATAGTTCAGGCCCAAAGTCCCAAGTGGCTTATTTCTGCTTCCATCTCTTGTTCCGGGGCTCTTATTTTGACCTGAATTCTGAGCATTGGAGTTACTTTTTCTGAATACTGAGAAAGTCGTCTAAATTGGAGCCAGAATTATTCCCTCTTTAACAGTGATCATTGTATCATAAAGTTCAGGATGTTGGTAGAGAATGAGATGCAACAATCCAGAAGGAGGCAAACGCGCGCAGAAAAAAAGATCAGAACTGAACAGGATTGACTGGAATGAGAGATAAACAGGAAAATCAGTAACTGAACAATGGGCTACCCTTCAAAGAAGACATAGTTCAAGTACAATTGAGGTATATTCTCTCAAATGGGAAAGGTAGATCAAACAAACCCAAAGCTCCCTGGATGACAAAGGAGATAGTAATTAAAATAAAGAAGAAAAAGTGTCAGAAAGGAAATAAGATTGAGAACCAAGAGGAATATCCAAGTTCATGGTGAGATGAAAAATCAAATAAGAGAAGCAAAGAGAAATTATGAGAAAAGACTGGCAGCCAACATAAAGAGGTCTCTTAAAGTCTTCCACAACCATTTAATAAAAAGGGAGTGGTAAAACAAGGTGTAGGGCAGATTAGGAGCAACAAAGGGGATTCACATAAAGGGTTTTCCCTTATTCATTCATGGGATGAGGGCATTGCTGACCAGGCAGCATTTGTTACCCATCCATAATTTCCCCAGAGGGCAGTTTAAAGTTAACATGTTGCTGTGGGTCTGGAGTCACATGTAGGCCAGGCCAGGCCAGGTAGGGACGGCAGTTTCCTTCCTAGAGGACATTAGGAGACCAGATGGGTTTTTCTGAAAATCAATTCACGGTCATCATAAGATTCTTAATTCCAGATTTTATTAAATTCAAATTCCATGGTGGGATTCAAACCCAGGTCCCCAGAATGTTATCTGGGTGTCTGTATTAACAGTCCACTGATAATACCACTAGGCCATCACCTCTCCATAACTGAAGTATTGAATGAATATTTTGCATCTTTATTTACCAAAGAGTGAGATGCTACCCAGACCATGATGACACAAGAGGGAACTCAGTCATTAGAAAGGTTCAAAATTGACAGGCAGAAGTTGGAAAAAACTGTCCATACTTAAAGTTGACAAAGTACCTGGGGTCAGATGAGATGCATCCAAAGATTTTGAAGGAAGTGGGGGTGGAAATTGGAGGGATATTGGCCACAACCTTCAGTCTTCCCTAGACTCAGGGCAAATGGTAGATGCCTGGATAATTGCAAACATTGTGCCCTTGTTCAAGAAAGGTTGCAAGGATAAGTCAGCAATTACAGACCAGTCAGTTTAACTTCAGTGGTGGAGAAGCTTCTAAGGCAACTATTCAGGATAGAATTAGTAGTTACATGGGAACAGGTGGATTGACTAGAAAGTGTCAGCATGGATTTCTAAAGGAAACTTAGTTTAACTAACTTGCTGAAGTTTTTTGAAGAGGTAACAAGGTAACTCTGAGCGAAATGATCTTGATGTGGTGCATATGGACATTCAGAAGGCATGTGATAATGCCACACAACAGACTTGTGAGGAAAGTTATAGCTTGCAGAGTAAAAGCGACAATAACTGAAAAATTGGGCTAGGTAATAGGAAACAGTGATGGGTCAGTGGTTGTCTTTTGAGCTGGAGGAGAGTTTGTACTGGAGTTTCCCAGGGGTCAGTGTTGGGACCATTGCTTTTCCTGATATGTATTAATTATCTGGATCTTTGTGTGCAGGGGGCAACCTTAAGGTTTGCAGATGACACGAATGTGTCAAATGAGAGGGCAACATTGTAAAACTCAAGAAGATCAATGACAAGTTGTTGGAGTGGACAGATAGATGGTAGATGAGGCTCAATGGAAAGAAGTGTGAGGTGATGCATTTTGGTAAGAAGAACATTGAAAAACAAGGGGTACAATTCTAGATGGGGGTGCAATTTCCACCCCCACTTTCTTCAAAATCTTTGGATGCATCTCATCTGACCCCAAGTACTTTGTCAACTTTAAGGGGGTGTATACACACACAGATCATTGAATGAGGCAGGATAGGTGGAGAGAATATTAGATAAAGTATACAGTATTCTCAGCTTTATTATTAGGGGCAGTCTCTTGTTAGACCTCAGTTAGAGTATTGTGTAAAATTCTGGGAGCCACATTATAGGAAGGAGAATGGCTAGAGTGCAGAGGTGGTTTGTAAGAGTGGATCTACGGATTAAGACAGATTGAAGAAGTTGGGTCTATTCTTCTTGGAGAGAAAAAAGCTAAGAAAAGACCTGATAAAGGCTTTCAAAGTCATGAGTGAGCTGGACAGAGTCGATAGGGAGAAACTGTTCCTGCTCATAAAGTAAAAGGATTGAGAGGGCGTAGATTTAAAGTGATGTGCAAAAAGAAGCAAGAGTGAAATGAGGGAAAGTAGTTGGGGTATGGAATGCGTTACTTGGAAATGTGGTGGAGGCACATTCAACTGAGGTCCTCAAGAGGGAAATGAATGATAATTTGGACAGAAATAGCGTGCAAGGGTATGGGGAAATAGCAGGAAATTTGAATGAGGTAATGATGCTCATTAAATGAGCCACAATAGGGTCAATAGGCCAAATGGCCTCCTTTTGCACTGTAACAGAAACACTGTGATTCTGAACTGAACAAACTTTTAAAAATTTATCATGTTCTAGAATGCCATGCCACATGGCTTTTTATGGATTATGAATTAGGAGCAGAATCAGGCCATTCAGTCCTTCAAGCCTGCTGATCTGATTGTATTCTGAATTCCATATTCCTTGATAACTTTTGAACGCCTTGCATAACAAGAAAATACCCACCTTTGCCTTAAAAATATACAATGAACTCACCTCCACAGCCTTCTGAGGCAGAGTTACAAAGCCACACATGGTCTGAGAGAAACTGTTTCCTCTTGTCTCTGTCCTAAAAGGGTGACCCCTAATTTTAAAATAATACCCCTGTCATTGTTCACTCACCCACAAGAGGAAACATCCTTACCACATCCAACTTGACTACAGCATTCAGGATCTTGTACACTTCAATCAAATCACCCCTCACTCTTCTAAAGTCCAGTGGAAACAAGCCCAGCCTTTCCAACCCAACCCCATAATTCACATATAAAAACCAGGAGCCAGAGTAACCCATTTAGCCCCTCAAACCTGCTCCGCCATTTGATACAATCATGGCTGATCTCATCACAGCCTCACATCCACTTTCCTGTCTGCTCCTCATAACCCTTCAACCCATTACGTATTAAAAAAACTTCTCCTTAAAAGTACTCAATGTCCCAGCATCCTCCGCATTATGGCAAGGGGTTAGTCACCTCAGTTGGCTACCTGACTGGTGAGTGACACCAACAGCCTGAGATCACTTCCTGCACCAGCTGGGGTTACCAAGAAGGACTCTACTTCTCAACCTCTCGTCTTGCCTGAGGTGTGGTGATCCTCAGGTTAAACCACCACCAGTCATCTCTCTCTCTCTAATGAGAGATAAGCCCTATGGTCTGCTAAATCTATGGTGACTGTGTGCTTACTACACTCTGGGGAATTGAATTCCACAGATTCACAACCCTTTCTGAGAAGTATCAATCTAGCAAGCCTCCTCTGAACTGGTTCTAATGTATTACCTTCTCCCCTAAATAAAGAGGCCAAAACTGCACACTGTATTTGGGATATGGTCTCATTAATTAGAACTGAAATGTTATTTTCTTACTTTTATGTTAAATCCCTCTCTTAATAAATGATAGCATTCCAATTGATCTTCTTCACCATTTGCAGTATCTGCCAACTAGCTTCCTGTGACTCATGCAGTAGTTTGATGTCTATATAGTTGGGTATATTTTCCTGACTGCTGTGAGTTGAAATCCTAAAATCTTAAAGCACAGGAGATTGTTCAGTGCATTATTAAGAGCATAAGAAATGGGAGCAGGAGATGCCATCTGGCCCATTGAGCCTACTCTGCCATTCAATATGATCATGGCTGATCTGTTCATGGACTCAGCTCCACTTACCCGCCCACTCACCATAATCCTTAATTGCCTTACTTTTCAAAAAGTCTATCTATCATTGCCTTAAAAACATTTTTAGCATGCTTCACTGGGCAGGGAATTTCACAGATTCACAACCCTTTGAGTGAAGAAGTTCCTCCTCAACTCAGTCCTGCTCCTCTGATGCTGCTTGGCCTGCTGTGTTCATCCATCTCTACACCTTGTTATCTCAGTCCTAAATCTGCTCCCCTTTATTTTGAGCCTATGCCCCCTAGTTCTAGCTTCACTCACCAGTGGTAACAATCTCCTTGCTTCTCTCTTATCTGTTCCATTCATTATTTCATATGTTTCTATAAGATCCTCTCATTCTTCTAAATTCCAATGAGTATACTCCATGTCTGCTCAATCTCTGCTCAATCCTCTTTCAGTGTTAGCTCTTAGAATGAGCTATCCAATTAGTTCCACTGCTCAGTTCTTTCTCTATACTATTCCATATCACAACAATCAGCTGTGTGAACATAAAGACTTCCCTCTGGTTCTTCTACCACCCTTATCAGTGAAAATAGTTTCTCCTTATTTAGTCAATGTAACTTTGAACACTCTACCATATCACTCATACTTACTGACTCTGCTCTAGGTTCTCCAGATAAGTGAAACACATCATTCCTGGTATCACTCTAAGTTAAGTAAAATAAAAATGTTATTGGTTAAATGAAGACATGAGATTCCAGTTTAATTTCAGTAGTTTTATTGAAAAATGCCTCTTTCATTTCAGAAATAAATAGGAAATTTAGGCTGTGAAATTCACAATCTGCAGTTACAAATATGAAGCAGCAATTCTATATCCATAGTCTTGCAAACAGATTCCAACTGCATCCGAGTTTCTGAAAACACTATATTCTGGTAAAGGTTCCATACTAAATATACATCACAGACATGCATTTCCACCACCCTTTGTAACAGATCTGCTGAGAACCAGCACATTTATATTTAAAGTTTTAATGTAAAAAAATGTTATAAGCAGTGTTAAGTACTGTATCTGGTAGGTACAATGATTTTAAGCAGTATTCTTTTTAAGAGTGTGTTGCACCTAATTCTTGATTTAACCAGCTGATACACTTGTAAGATAAAGTAACATATTCCTAATAGGATTATAACTGAAAATACAGATAAACTATATAATTGGAATGTAGTAGACAAGCTTGTCGTATTTAAATAGCATTTGAAGTGCTAACATGGGATAAAGTTGCAGAGTAACCATTGTGAAGGGTGGGTATTAAGTGCCATTGGAAGGGAGGGTAGGAGACTGTCTATGATGTGGATTATTGTGGACATTTTTTTGGTTTTTTTCTATTTTGAAAAACATATTGATTAAAGGACTTTTTTTGTTTTCTTTAAGCACAGTGTAAGTAAAGTGAACAGAGGCACAGTTAAAACCAATCTCTGCAGGTTGAGACAAACAGAATAGGTGAGTTACTACATAGAAGCATATACACAACAGTGGAAAGTGACAGACTGAGATTACACAGGCGTTAGGTTCATTTTGCATCAGTCACATGTACAAGAGTCCTGGCTTTCAAACACAGGTAGGCAGGGAAGGGGCAGGGCAAAAATTACCTTGATTGTCAATGTTAAGAAAAGTTATCATTGCTTAGTATTTCTTTCAAATATGTAAATGCAATTTGCACAAGGCACAGGGGCCAGGGTTGACAGTTGTGACCCTGCATGATATCCCTACTCTTTGCAATTGGAAGTTTCTAACTTCCCCTATTCCCTAATGCACCATTACAGTTACAAGAGGAATACAGAAGGAACAGCTCTCATTATTTGTTCAGTAAAGTAAAAAAAAAATGTGATTTGCAAATGAGCATGCTTGTGCAGTGGCTGGGACGAGAATAGTGTTATCCTTTACTGGTCAGAGCCAACACCAAAACTAAGTGGATACAAGTTGAACTAACACAGGTTTGCTCATCGGAGCATCGAAAAGCACAGAGATGATCTGGAGATGTGAATGTAGCAACAAAATAAAGATTGAAAGTTTAGTTCATATAAAACCACTCCGTGCCCTCCCCTGCTTTTGGTATTGAAACAATGATGGTCATTCCTCATGAATAGGCTCGGCTAAATCCAGGCGACCGAATTTCAGTTTCAATTTGTTCGATCTCTTCTTCCTCTTCCCTTTCTATGGGTACAACATGGGTTTCTGGTCGATAAGGTTGCGGCTCGTATAGTCCTGGTTGGAAATATGGGTCTAATATAACACACACTATATTCGGCAACCACCAATCCTCTTGTTTAGACATGCTTTCAACATGTCATACACAAGTTAAATTCTTATAACATATACATTTTATATATATATATATTTGTATGCATATTTTGATTTACATTCATCTGGGAAACAGCCTTTTGCTCAATTATACTATTTTCTAACAAAGTAGTGGGGTGGATAAAATTGCTTTCTTTTAAATCATTATTAATATCTGTAACAACATTTTTTTAAAAGAAGAGATTTTTTGTTGGAACAAAAGAAGCAGTAATTGCACAGAACATATAATCAACACTATATAGTGACAGGGCAGTTGAAATCATGTTGTGCTATTTTAGTAAGAGGCTGCTTAACAAAGTGGCTGAGCCGAATGTTAAAATGCATGTCATACGATTTTCTTAGCATGATCGTTACTAATACAGAACACTATGATTTGAACTGCCATGGCTGTTAAAATTTACTCACTAACTTCAAATGAATAACATGAAAGAGAATCATTCACTAGTGATTACAGTTTTAAATAAAGACACAATAGTAAAATGGAAAGAGTAGACAAAAATAGGTGTCAGCAAATGTAGAAACGCAAGAAAGAGGGGAAGCAAAGTGAAGGCAATGGTGGGTGCACTGCTAAAACTTAAGTTTCGAATTTACTGACCAAATGCTGCCAGGAGAGAGCACAGGTCAAACACAGAGCTGAAATTCAAACCCATGCTGACTCGTGACTGCGAATGCTCAGAATTTGTGGTGCTGCTCCTGTATTACAAGCTTCTGCCCAGTTGGAGTGCCACAACAGCAATGCCGTATGGTATTCCTTCTGCCACTCTGCATGCAGCACTAATGAGAGCACAAAACCTATATTCTTTCTAACTGATCAATTTTTTTCAAAGAAATAGTTTGTATTGCGAAGTTCAAGAAGGCTGAAACAGAAATCATTTTTCCTAATGCCCCACCACTGAAATGTTTTGGGGTTGAAGTCGGTCTCTTCCAACAGCACAAGATGGATAATAGTGAATTTTTAAGCCAGTTTTACGCTCTGCCTAATTTTCCATTCCATTGGATAAGAAATTTAGCCAGGGCGTAGAACAGACTGTCAATTTGCAATCTCCCATCTTGCAGCCAAGACTGGTTTTAACTCTGTAATTTTGCCACTGACATTTGTCGGGTTTTCTCGGTGTTCTAATACAATTTCAGAAGGGCGGTTACTATCTAAAGCAAGTAGCAAGCAGCAGGCCCGAACGCACAAGCCGGTTTAATAGATGTTACAGCTGGTGTGGGTTGTAATTCAGTTCGAACCTTTGCATTGCTGCAATTAGTTATTTACAGAAACAATACGACAAAGTAATTTCAACATTCCAGGCTAAAAAGTCTGTGTTTTTTTTTGTAGCTGTAGTTTGTAAAATGGTGTATCTTCACAAGGTTAGTAGTAAGTTTAAGCCTTGTTTTTTGCTTCACGATGAAACAGCCTTAAAAGGACAGGCATCTGACGTCTGTTTCATATATAGAAACTGCAAACTCTCTTAGTTTAGTAGGTGTGTCTTTCTGTCTCCTTATGAAGAATTGATGGTCAACAGAGTTCGTTAAATCAACTTCTGGTGAATTTTCCAAAAAGGCTCATTTCTTATTAAGCTCGGGAACAAATATTTCAGAAACAGGGCTTTTCGGTTTTTGTGAACATCATTGGGTAACCTAGTAAAATTTATCCGGAACCTGAAACAGGTTAAGAATGCTGTTAGTTTTGGGAAAAAAGTGCTATATATTTTTGTTTTTTTTTCTACAGTGGAGAATAAATGAGCTATTTCAGTTTTGTTTTTAATTACTCAGAACAAAAATCAAACACATAACATCACAATATTTAGACCGTTAACATATCTGGCCTGCCCAGATTTTTTGACATTCTGGTGCTAAACTACTTTCAAACAAACAGGCTGTCTTCAATCATTACAAATCGGGGTAGAATGCAAGGTCACTAGAATCAGAGCACTAAGAATATTAAAGTTCGCTTTGTCAATATTTTTATTGCATTTGTTATTTAAAGCAATATATTTGAAATATTGACAACAAGTGAAAATATTGCAATCTGAAATGAGGTTTAAATATTTTTCCTTGCCTGAAATTACAAAATAAATTGGACTTAAGTTACAGCTAAATGTTAACAGTCATTTTAGTTCCTTTAGTTTTTTTTATATCAGTTTGAGAGTCTTATACTTTGTTAATTTTTTTTAAAAAATGGTTATTTTTATAAGATTGGCCACAAACATAATGCCTCTATTTAGGGATCAGTCAGTAGCTGCAAAGCTCTTTTATAATTGCAACGATTTGTTTGTTCCTTTTATTCAGCGCCAGCTTTCTTTATGATTTGAGTAGAGCTCAGTTCCAGCAACAATTTGATCTGAAATATTGCAGTGCTGAGTTAGGAGGTCATATACATAATAGATCACTCGGGGATTAGTAGCCCTGTAACAGAAGGAAAGGAAAGCCTTAACTCAGAGATTTAGAAAGGAGTAGAAGGCTTACATTGGGTTGTTGAGGGAAGGGAAGCTCTGGATGTTGGATTGGTGAGTAAAACCAAGTCATACATATGGATTCGATGCATGATTAGAAACTACACACTAAGGATGATGGGTAAGGGAGAACTGATAGTGATAAGGCTATCCTACAAATACTGAGTTGGTGGGAAGAGGATTCATTTTCAATGAGCTATCTTCAATTAATTTGTTAGGCTGCATAAACTTTACTGGGACTATTTGCTCCTAAATTCCCAAAGTTTGATGAAAATTGAAAATTTTTGGGATGTGAGCCAAGTCAGCCACAAGAAAACTGGTACAATTATCAATAATTTAAATATATTGGTTCATAACAGCAACAGAGAATTCCAAAATAAGAGCAGTAATATGGTTGGCGGGAAGGCAATATATAAGATATATTTAAGGATAGATTGGCAGGATGCTTTACATAGACAAACAGTGCATTCTGGGTCACTCTTTGTTGCTGCCTGGGTCTTTTGTTTGAATAGCAATGTGGGACCAGGTTAATTCCAGTGCTGTAATAGTTTATCTGTTGAAAAGGGACAATGACATTATTTTTGCAAGGAATGTTTCCAGGCTTTAATTTTTAAGAAATAACCAGATTAACCATTAAGATCCTACCAGAAGAATAAAGTTCTTGATATGGGATAGGGTGTAAGGGGAATATTCTGATTACACTCATCAGGGCAAGTAGTTAGACTGATGGATTAAAATCTGATTTTAGGACTCTTCAGTGTTCACAAGCTAATGGAGCGTGTTTATACGCTGGATTTTTCTGAGTTATATATATGACTTCCTTTAAGGAGCACTGCATTGAAACAAATACTTTTGTGTTTAGCTATGACTGCTCTAAAATAAAAATGTGCTCTTCCTAACTTGGTAAAAATTTGAGAAGGTACAGTGAAGATACATTTCTTAAGCAAATCTTTTTATGCAATTTTTCAATTGGGAAACTTTGGGGAAAAAGATGGTTCTAGAAAGAGGAAGCAATGAGTCGCTTCACCAATGTTAAAACAATTTGTTGCTGTGCAAGAGGTTAGTGCATTAAAAAAAAAATTAAATTCTAAGAAGATGGCACTCCTTAAAAATCTCAACACTTTCCCTTGCCTTGTGCTGGCCAGAAATTGAAAGGAATACTGAGTTCATATTAGGTTTAATAGGAAATATCTTTGTTTAAAAATGTGATACAAGTCAAGTTGCTGTCATATCCATTCAGGCATGACACCAACTTGTCCAAAGTACCACGTGATCCATCTCCTTCCTCAAAAGGACAGAGACTTTGGAAAACTTTTATTTGTTATGAAAATAATTCCCCTTTTAAAATCTTTTAAAAAATTAGTACAGCCATGTGTGGGGCTAGATTTATGTTTAATAATTTATATATTTTAGTGCAAGCCAACCAAGGCTGTTTAACAATGAAGTTTAAAATATTTAACTGTTGAAATATTATATTTCTTTCCGAGCAAAGAAAATTAAATCTTATCCATGATCACATTTCATTCCTGTTTTAGTTAAAAAAATAGCCTGTCAAAGAACCGAAGAGATTGGTCTCCTTGGATCTGAAGATATGAGCTAATGACATTCTTGCCAGAAAATAAGCCAAAATCTGTGGCTTCCAATATCTCTCAAGACAGGTTCTCACTGCATTGATGTTTCCTTCTTATGACTCCCTGTCTCTCAGCTTTAAGTTAGACCCACATCTATTGTTTGTTCATGTACTTAAAATAATGGGGGTCGGTTTAGCTCAGTTGGCTGGACAGCTGGTTTGCAAAGCAGTGAGATGTCAACAGCATGCATTCAGTCCCCACAACGGCTGAGGTTACCATGAAAGACTCTCCTTCTCAACCTCTCCCCTCATTGAGGTATGGTGGCCCTCAGGTTAAATCACCACCAGTTGTCTCTCTCTAATGAGAGAGCAGCCCTGTGGTCTGGTAAGACAATGGCGACTTGACTTAAAGGGACATACAAGGTAGGGACAAGTAAGATGTTCCCCCTGGTCAGGAAGTCTAAAAGCAGGGAGCAGGGTTTAAAGATAATGTGGGAGCACTTAGATCAGAGATAAGGACAAAGTATTTTACTCAGAGGGTTGTAAACCTTTGGAATTCTCGGCCATAGAGGGCTGCAGAGGTTCAGTCTTTCAGTACCTTTGAGGTTCAGATTGATAGATTTCTGTTTAATGGCAACATAGGGGGTTATGGGAATGGGGTGGGTACAAGGTATTAAATTGCTCAATCAGCCATGATTGTATTGAATGATGGAGCAGGCTCGAAGGGCTGAATGGCCTGCTCCTATAGTCATGTGATATTTGGTGACATGATACCTGATCATATGGTATTGAATCAGGTTTTACCTGTTTGCACCAAAACTTTGAGTTTTCACAGAACCCCTACCATGTGGAAGCAGGCCACTTGGCCCATTGGGTCCACACTGCCCCTCTGAAGAGCATCCCACTGAGACCCACCCCATCCTCATGACCCTGCATTTCCCATGGCTAATCCACCTAGTCTACACATCCCAGGACACTATGGGCAATTTAGCATGGCCAGTTTCCCTAACCTGCACACCTTTGGGCCATGAGATAAAATCCACTCAGAGAATGTGCAAACTCCACACAGACAGTTACCCAGGGCTGGAATTGAACCTGGGTCCCTGGCACTATGAGGCAGCAGTGCTAACCACTGAGCCACCGTGCCACACATGTTATATCTTTGCACGTGGGTTCATGCCAGCAGTTGTTATGACTGAAGTTCCAAGAACCATGGGTGCATCCTCCAGAACTACAAATTAATCCAGGCAGGAAAGCAAATACACATGAGTCTTTATCGCAAAGGATGGGAGTGTAAGGGTAAAGAGTCTTACTGCAAAAGTATAGGGGCTTGGTGAAATTATACCTGGTACCATGCACAATTCTTCTCTCCTTATACCTAAGGAAGCCTCAAAGAGACTGATTTCTGGGATGAAATCAGCTATTCAGAGAAATTGAGAAGAATAGGTCTGGCAGTTAGAAGATAGCAAAGAGCTCTAATTGAAACATGCAAAATTCGTACGGTGTTAACTGTTCAGAAGCTGAGAAAATATTTCTCTGGGTGGGGAAGCTTGCACAAGGGATCATGTTCACAGATTAAGTGTGGCCCACTTAGAACTGGGAAGAGGAGAAATGTCTTCACTGAGAAGGTTCTGTCCTAGAAACCTAGGGATGCTCAATCTTTGGGTGAGCTGAAGTCAGCGATCAAGAGATTTGTGGATATAAGGCAATCAAAGATATAGGGAGTGTGCAGGAAGGTGGAGTTGAATTAGAAGATCAACCATTATCTTAATGAATGGTAGAGCAGGCTCAAGGTGCCAAATGGCCTACTATTTACTGGCATCTCTTAAGCCTCTATATTTCACAAATCAACTGAACAAAATGTTAGAATCACACAGCACAATAGAAACCATCTCGGCCATTGTACCTGTGCTGATTTTTCCAAAGGGTCATGCCATTATCCCACTATTTCCCTGTTGACCTGCAAATCATTTTTTCCAATTCTCCTCTTGGAAATTATGATTGAATTTGCTTCTATCACCTTCAGATGGTGCCTTCCAGGTCAGAACAGCTCTGCATAAATAACAAACTCTCCGAATTTCATCTCCTTTTTTTAGGACAAATATGGCAACTCTTCTCCCAGCAATGGAAATAGTTTTACCTTATTTCCTCAATCACACTCACAATTTCTCATCAATCCTTTCATCCCCTCTCATCAATCTTTCTGGAGAACAATTACACCTTCTCCAGTGTCAGCACTTTACTGAAGTCTGTAATCCTTGGAACCATCTCCTCTGCATCCCTTCGAAAACATCCTTTCTACAGAGTGGTGCCCAAGGCTAAATTTTATACTCCAACTGAGGTCTAACCAGTGATTTATAAAGGTTTAGGAACTTTTGCCAAGTGAAATTACAGTCAAGTGGTCTAGAGTGGTGGGTAGCTTTATTAATTGATAGAAATCAACCAGATCACTACTTGTTTCTCAAAAGCTAAGATTACAGCTCGTATTTTGCTCGAGCTTTCAGGATATCAACCAGAAAAATCTAAGAATTGTGACTGAGACTGAGCTACGGGTCTTGGTAGATTCTCCTCCTTCTGATTTGGCCCTTCCACTCAAGTTCCTGAGATCGTGTGGATTTCTCTTACACTCACTGTCGTACGGGCACTGCTCCCAAGACCTCTTCACTGAATCTGGATAACTAACAGCCTGAATAGGCAGGTCACATACCTTACTGAATACTCCTCTCTACCAAGAGACAATAATTTTGGTTTAGCTTCCTTAAATACAATGACTAACCAAGAATACATTTCAGCACAACCTTGTGGTAACCTACCATGTTACCTAGTTATTTCTTAGTTTAGTTGCTTTTTAAAAATAATAGTCAGGTTTATGTTAGCAGCCACTGGATCATTTAGCAAACGTTCCAGGCACTTCATAAATTTAAAGAAAGAAGAAGTTACAGCCGTATAAATCTTTGCAATGGATGCTTCTCTTGTTCTTCTCAATCTCTTGCCTGAGGTGCAATTAGGTCTCATGCATTGCAAAGTACAGGACAGAATGGTCGACTGATCATTCTCCAGTTTACTGAGGTGTAAACTCTTTACTTGCCTACTGAGTGGTTAGTTTACAAATTATATAAGAAGCTCATTAGGTTTTAGTGCCTCGGTTTAATTCAAGTTAATTAATTGCGTTAAATTTTTTTTAAAAGGTTGTTTATAGAATAGTTATAAAAGCAGTTAAAAATAATTTCACCCAAATCAGCTGGGGTTTAGAGATTTTAAGAATATTCCCTGATGTCAATCACTTACCAAATTTAAAAACCCTTCACAATTGCTGGATGAATTCCGGGGATTGCAACCTACCTGGATATCCATTGTAGGGAATGCCTGCACACATAGAGGAATCACAGTAACCAGGAGGGCCAGCTGGACCCCGAGACCCATATCGTCCTGGACGACCTGGTGGTCCAAGGGGGCCTCTTGGACCTGGCGGACCTGTGGGACCAGTTCTTGATTGTCCTGGTGGGCCTAGGACGAAAAGCAGAGAGATAAGAACATTCCTTCCATTAACCTTTTGTAGGTAGAGTCATAGAGCTGTAAACAAAGAAACAGTCCAACTGATCCAGATATCCGAAATTAATCTCGTCGCACTTGCCAGCATTTGGCCCATATCCCTCCAAACCCTTTCTATTTACACAACCCATCCAGATGTCTTTTAAATGTTGGAATTGTACCAGCCTCCACCACTTCCTCTGGCAGCTTATTCCATACACACACCATCCTCTGCGTGAAAAGGTTGCCTCTTAGGTCCCTTTTAAATCGTTCCCCTCTCACCTTAAACCTATACCCTCTAGTTTTGGACTCCCCTACTCTGGGGAAAAGACCTTGGCTGTGTACGCTATCCATGCCCCTCACGATTTTATAAACTTCTATAAGGTCACTCCTCAGCACCCGAAGCTCTACGGAAAATAGCCCCAGCCTATTCAGTCTCTCCCTATAGCTGAAGCCCTCCAAACCTGGCAACATCCTTGTAAATCTTTTCTGCGCCCTTTCAAGTTTAACAACATCTTTTCTATAGCAGGTATTTTATTTCTCTTCCATTTTGTTTCATCTCACCTCTCCAGATGGTTTACTCCTTCACTCCCCACCAAAAAAAATGCATTCAACTGTTCTTCGTGAGTCCTTCTTCATAGGTCAGCCTGGAGGCCAAGTTGTATTTCTATCTTTGAGTCTGTCCCTCAGTGTGGGGAGCATTTCTCATTCCCAACTCAGCATTTTTTACCCGAAGCAACCTTCAAGAGAGGATCAATGGTAGATAGCTAATGATACATGGCCATTCAGAATGGAGTAGTGAGGGGATGAGGTTTTGTGGAAGTTTGAAGACTAACAGGAGCATTTCCAGCACTGAAGGACTAGCCACTGAGATGGGTGCTACCGCTGAGGCACAAGAAGAAAAGTGATTGCAAGCTGGAGGTGCCCTCTGAAGAACCAATGCTTTTAAGATCAAAAGTGACCACATCCACCAGAGAGGTCTGTGACCACGAGGGTGCTCAACTTTAATAATGGAGCACGAAGCTCCTACTCCAGTCATCCTCCGGGTTTTCGGTGTATTGACTGGAAAGCACCAGTCATGGTTGGTATTATTGAACGTGTAAATGGTTTAAGTGCCTACATGACACTTGTGTGGGGTTATCTGCCCATTGCTTGCCCCCCAACCCACCCCAACCCCAGCACACCCTGAAGAAACCTATTCCAAAATGGCATGGACACAGAACCAGCTAGCAACCCCACCACGCCAGCTCACTCTGAGAAAATTGCTGACCCAGTCACCTTGGTCCCAAACTGTCAGATGAAACTCGACCCTGAGGGTCTGCTGCTGGACACTGCAGCCATACATTATACATTTCTTACAATACATTTCTTACAAACAAACGTGCAGGCACATATAATCACACACGTGAACATGTATGCACACACACAACACACATACACACACAGTCACATGCAACGCACACAACACACACTCATGCAATGCATACTAACACTTATACAGAGACACAAAACAAACACAACACACACACACACACACACACACAGCTGCCTGTTAGCTTCAATGTGTTATTGTCTACAATACAAGTGTAAGGTCACTTCATTGAGTTGAGAACTCATCTACAGGTTGCAAATTGGATATGCAATATCCTGCATCAAAACCATAATGCACTTAATGAGCAATAACTAAAGCATCAGGAATATCCTTATCATCACAGGTTACAGAAATAAACCATCTTTCTTCACTGAAAAGACAACTAATTTCAAAAAATCACAGAACTGTTACTGTGCAGAATGAGGCCATTTTGCCTACTGTGTCTGCACTGGTTCTACTGTCTAGTATCAATGTCCTACACACCATTTTTCTTTTCTTTATTTGTTTCTGTAGTGATTGTAATGAGGTCAGCCAGCTGGACTACACAGAATATGAGTTCCCTGATTGGGGTTCATAATCTGGTCCACTCAGAGAGCCCTGGCTGACTGATTAAGAGGAGAGTCAGAGATTCTGACATTCGGACAGCTGGCTCTGAAGCAGCAGTATTAAAGTCAGGGAGTGTTCATGTGTAAATAAAGGGGTGACTTGGTGAGGGAATACCGGCCTCTGTGGAATTATTTCAGTTTCTTTCTTTCATTTTTATATCGGGAAGTTCTATCACACAGAACCAAACAGCTCCTCCCATCACCAAATCACCTGTGGCAATTTTCACCTACTAACTCCCACCAGTAAGTTACCCACATTTCTAATTGTTCAAATTATGTGCACCACACACAATTTCTATCCATATAATTATTCAATACCCTCTTACATGCTTCAATTGAACCTACCCCCACTACATTTCCACGCACTGCATTTGGATGGACTCAAGAAAGCACTGGCACGGCAACTCTTTGTGAGCTCTCTACAGGAGATTTTACCCTCACATTTCCTTCACTCTGTTCAATCACCTTATGATCTTTCTGTCTTTGTATGCTATGATCCACTGTACTGCATGTTAAACAAAACTTTTCACTGTACTTAGGTACATGTGCCAATAGTAAATCAAATCAAATCCAGACTCCAACAAATTGCTGTGTGTGGAAAAGTTTTTCCTTGCCTCACCTTGCCTTGTTTGCACGTCGCCTTCAATCTATTTGGAGGGAAGAATTAAATCTCTCACACCTGTCCATTACAACAGTAGCAGTCTTAAATTACTTGTGCTGTTTTCCTTCTCTTCATTCATGAACTTGGAAAACTCATATCTGACCCCAAACCTGCCTGACAGCTGCTCTCTGTGCTGTCTAGACTGCTTTCATGTAATTCAAGACCAGTGGCCTGCAAGTTTCCACATATGTTGTAAATGAAGCCACAAAACTAAACTCCCCTGTCCCCAACCTTCATAGGGTCTCCCTTTTATCTGTAAATGAAAATTCTGACCATTGAGATGAAAAATGACTCATTATTTACTCCATTTTTTAAATTTTCGATGAGCATTTGACTTCTATTTCATAATTGAACCATTTGTCTGTGAGTAGGAGACCAAGAACAGATGCATGACTGTGCTTTTTTTAATTATGAACTATGGCTACCTCAGGGAATAGCCCACATTAAACAAATAAAACAAGGCGTCACCTTTGCTTCCCTGTGACCTGTGAGTAGCTGATGTAATATTTGTGTTGGAATGAGCCGAGTCATGGGTAACCAAACAACTTGATCTCTACTGCTGAGGACTTTGCGAATTATATGCACTGCAGATTGTGTGTTCCTCAACAGAAAAAAACAATCACACTTAAGTAAACTTTTAGTACTCCTGGGACACCGTATGATTCAGTGTTCTGCTAGTCATTGCTGATCAGAAACTGGCACTTTGCTCTCCAGCTGAGTCCTTGCGCCAGTAGAATTCTATAAAAGGAAGGAGGCAAAAACAGGATGTCTACGAGAATTTGCAAATTGCAATTGTCTTCAGGAATTAAAAATCAATTTCCCAGTCACTGCTGTGTGCAAATGGGGCGAACAATACATGCTTGTGGCAGAAAAAGAACAAAAAAACCTTCTGCCCACTTAGCTCTTGAACAAAATCATCATTTATTGTTCACATGGCAGAACTTTTGGGAAGGAGCTTTTGATATCTCTTCCAGAGAAAATGAGAGTTGCCTGGCCACAATTTGGCACAAAGATGAAGAGAGAATTTGTCCAAAACCCATTCCGAATTATTGATTTTGGATTGGAAAACATCGCATTTAATAGATATCCAATTTATTGCGCAGCCAACCAAATTAAAAATGGTACCCATGATGTTGGCACTTGTACGAACTGGGGAAGGGGCCCATTCTGGTTTGTTTTTCTTTAATTTGTTAGATAACATTAAAAATTTTGAGCAATTTCAAGATATTTTTCATCATGCAACTTACATGTTGGAATTCAAACATCTGCTCATACATAAAATGACATACCTGGAGGTCCAGGTAAACCTCGTTGTCCTGGTTTCCCAATGCCTGAACTGCCTTGTTCACCTTTTTCCCCAGGGCTTCCTGTTCGTCAAGAGGGAAAAGATATGCTGTTGAGAGTGTGCTGCAACAGTGGAGCATTCAAACAGTTCACTCACAATGAAATTAAAAATTAAGCAAAAACAGGTCAATGGTCTCTACTTCCAGCATTGTTGCCTCAGTTTGGTTGCAGAATGAATGTACCATCATAACAATTTATTAAGCAGGAATAGGTCATATGGCCCTCCATCACTGAACAAGGTCATGAGGCATCTGGTGTCATGGTATTAGTGTCCATACCTCTGATCCAGGAACGATGACAAACAAAATATTACTTATTATTTATCAAGTCAGCACTGGGCGGCATTGTGGGCTGCCTCACAGAGCCACAAATCTGGGTTCAGTTCCAGCCTTGGGTGATTGTCTGTGTGGTGTTCCGACATTCTCCCTGTGCCTGTATATGTTTTCTTTGGGTGCTCCGGTTTCCTTCTACTGTTCAAAGATGTGCAGGTTACATGGATTGGCCATGTTAAATTGCCCGCAGTGTTTTGGATGTGCAGGCTAGGTGGGTTAGCCGTGGGGAATAAAAACCAAAAGAACTGTGGATGCTGTAAATCAGGAACAAAAACAAAGCTGCTGGAAAAGCTCAGCAGGCCTGGCAGCATCTGTGGAGGAGAAAACAGTTGTTTTCTCAGGGTCGACTGGACCCTCAATCGGGTCCAAGCCAGCTCCCGCACTTCTGCCCTCACCCCTTCTCTTCCCTCCCGCAACAGCGATAGGGTTCCCCTTATCCTCACCTACCATCCCACCAGCATCCACATCCAGAAGATCATCAGATGCCATTTCCGCCACCTCCAGCAAGATGTCACCACCAGACACGTATTCCCCTCCCCTCCCTTGTCCGCCTTCCGCAGGGACCGTTCCCTCTGGGACACCCTGGTCCATACTTCCTTCACCCCCAACACCTCCCCGACAGCTCTATGGCACCTTCCCCTGTAACCGGCGAAGGTGCAACACCTGCCCATTTACCTCCTCCCTCCCCAGTATCCAAGGGCCCAAACATACCTTCCAGGTGAAGCAACACTTCACCTGCACTTCCAAGAATCTAGTCTACTACATTCGCTGCTCACAATGTGGTGTCCTCTACATTGGGGAAACGAAGCGTAGACTTGGCGACCGCTTTGCAGAACATCTACGTTCTGCTCGCAAAAAAGACCCTGAACTACCTGTTGCCTGCCACTTTAACACACCACCCTGCTCCCTGGCCAACATCTCTGTCTCTGGCTTGCTGCAGTGTTCCAGTGAAGCCCAACGCAAGCTGGAGGAACAATACCTCATTTTCCACTTGGGGACCCTACAGCCCTCTGGACTCAATATTGAGTTCAATAATTTTAGGGCCTAAACTCTCACATGTCCCAGCCCCCCACCCACACACCAGACCTTGTTACCACATAGCCTGCCATTACACACCCCCTGTTGTTAGTCACTAACAGTCCCCATTAACAACTATTCACCCTCCCAGCCTGATCGTTAGCAACTCCTTTGTCTGTCCAACTGTCTTTCTCTCTCTTTGGGCTCTATCGTATCGTTTACTCCCTCCCCCACCCACCTCCCTATTTTCTGCATATAAACTGACATTTTCCCAGCCACCATCAGTTCTGAGGAAGGGTCACCGGACCCGAAACGTTAACTTTGTTTTCTCCTCCACAGGTGCTGCCAGACCTGCTGAGCTTTTCCAGCAGCTTTGTTTTTGTTAGCCATGGGGAATGTAGGGTTACAGGGATATGGCAGGAGCTGGTTCTGGGTGGGATGCTCTTTGGAGGGTCAGTACAGGTGCAATGGGCTAAATGGCTTGCTTCCACATTGTAGGGGTTCTATGATAAGTCAGAGATGAGCAAGGATACCCTGCATGAATTTGTTAAGGGAGGGTCATGTCTGCCTAAACTGATTGAGGTTTTTGAGAGGGTAACAGGGAATGTTGATGGGGTAGGCATGTTTATTACAGTCTACAGGGAATTTAGCAGCACTTTTGACAAGGTCCCACATGGCGAATTCGTCAGAAAAATAAAAACCCATGGGATCCACGGAAAGTTGGCAAGTTTGGATCCCAAATTGGCTTAGTGACATGAAGCGATGTGTGATGATCGACCAGTACTTTTGTAACTGGGAAACGTTTGCCAATGTGGTTTGGCGAAGTTCAGAACTGGCCCCTTTGGTTTTTGTGCGACATACTAATTATTCAGTCTTAAATGCATTAGGCATAATTAAGAATTTTTCAGCTAAAACAAAAATTGGCCAGATGGCTTGATATTGTGGAAGAAAACTGTAGGCTGCGGGAAGACATCATATTGAATAATGGGACAGGTTTGCCAGGCCAAATGGTGCTTTCCTGCTTGTTTTTCTTACATCCTTATGTAAAGGATGGTAAGGGTAAGGAACTAGGCCTTGAAAGAACAGAGCGGAAAAACTCTCATCATATATAAAAAGCACTTGACAATGCACTTTAAATGCTGTAACTTACAGCTGTAATGACCGAGAATGGGAAGGTAATCGAGCTGAAGAGATTTTATTCAAGATCAGGAGTGATGGGCTCATTTGCTTCCTTCTAAAACATACATTTTTGTGAATCTATAAGGAGCTTTAAGTCTGGCGAGTGTATTTACAAATTCCCGATTGACTGTCTCTTACCTCTTTCACCAGGTCGGCCTTGCTCGCCAGGGGGTCCTGGGAATCCTGGTGTACCTGGGGATCCCGTTTCTCCAACTTGTCCAGTACTACCTGGTGGACCAGGTGGGCCAGGTGGGCCAGGAACAGCTCTGTTTGAGTAGTAACCGTTGGGGATTTGGTTTATCAATGAGTTCACTCTCCTCATGTGGTCTGCAAATGTAGAAAATTCAAGCGTTAATATTATCTCAAGCTGGCAGCTAATTTTTTGTTCTGTACTTGCCGTGTATTTGATATTGTTATGTTCTTGCAGTACTCCTGATCTCTTGGGGCAGCTTTAGTCAATGACCAGACCCAAAATATTTGTCTGCCTAAACAATTTTGCGTAAATAAAGCAGTTAAGGTTTCCACTGTGTTTTAATTCAACCTTTTGCGACCTATTCACAGCCATTTGCCTACCTGCAGGCCTAGATTGGAAAATCCAGTAATACTTAGTAGTGAACACATTGTTGGTCCCAGAACCTCACTTTGAAATATACAGGACGAGTCGGGAAGGCATCTCTCATTCACCAGTATTTTTTCACAATTTCCTCCTGGGAGAACAGCATCACCTGATAACTAAACAAAGAAAACAGAAGCAGGGGCAGGCCATTCGGCCCCTCAAGCCTGCTCCACCCTTCACCATGATCATGGCTGATCATCCGACTCAGTACCTTGTTCCTGCCTTCTCTGCATAACCTTTAAGTCTACAAACTATACCTAGCTCCTTATTGAAAACATTCAGTGTTTTGGCTTCAAACTCTCTACTTTAATTAGGTTGTACAGTTTTGGATTACTTATTACTTTAAGGTTTTGGAGTAGGTTTGTAGCTCGGGTTGTGGGTGTTGAGGTTGGTTGGCTTGCCGAGCTGGTTTGTTGTTCCGCAGACGTCTCGTTACCATGCTGGGTAACATCCTCAGTGCAGCCTCTAATGAAGCTTCGGTGTGTTTTCCCACCTGGTTTTTAAACCAGGTCGAGTTCAATGGGGTCGAGACCCCATATACATTCCACTACGGAAGAAACCCGGAAGTGAGGCGATCCATCGCAACGGACCCCAGAGTTTAAAAACCAGGCGGGAAAACACACCGACGCTTCATCAGAGGCTGCACTGAGGATGTTACCCAGCACGTTAACGAAACGTCTGCGGAACAACAAACCAGGTCAGCGAGCCAACCAACCTCAACTTATTACTTTGGTTACACCCTTGACAAGTGACTCTAATACCTATCACGTTATTCCAGTCATTTGGTTTGTATCCAGCAGCACCTTATTTTTAATTTTTTTGTAGTTATCTCTCTGCCTCATTTAATCGGATTATAGGTCATCCCTTTGCTGGTTATTCAGCTGTTGACACTTCACTCACTGTCTAACATTCTTGGTTACCTGCAGAGACTTATTATCTGATGCTCCATTCACACCAGTGATATGATCCTTTGATCTCTCTGCCCTTGATCTCTCTACCTGTAAACTCTGTGCCTGTGTGCTTCATTCTCGCTGCACCTGACGAAGCGACTGCGCTCTGAAAGCTTGTGTGATTTCACATAAACCTGTTGGACTATAACCTGGAGTCATGCGACTTCTAACTTTATCCATCCCAATCCAACGCCGGCATATTATGGTCACCATCAAGAGTGGCAGCAGTACTACTGATCGAGCTGGTCAGGTCCTAAAGGGTATAGCTGCTAGGCTGGGTCTGCAGCAGGTGGTGAGGGAACCAACAAGAGGGAAAAACATACTTCACCACATCCTTACCAATCTTCCGGCTGCAGGTGCATCTGTCTGTGATAGTCTTGGTAGAGTGACCATCGCACAGTCCTTGTGGAGACGAAGTCCTGCCTTCACATTGAGAACAACCTCCATCATGTTGTGTGGCACTATCACCGTGATAAATGGGACAGATTTCACACAGATCTAGCAACTCAAGACTGGGTTTCCATGAGGCGCTGTGGGCCATCAACAGCAGCAGAATTGTACTCCAGCACAATCTGTAACCTCATGGCCCGGCATATCCCCCACTCAACCATTACCATCAAACCAGGGATCAACCCTGGTTCAATGGAGAGTGCATGATGGCATGCAGGAGCAGCACCAGGCATATCTGAAAATGAGGTGAAAACCTGGTGAAGCTACAAAACAGTGATAGACAGAGCTAAGCGATCCCACAATCAGTGGATCAGGCCTAGGCTCTGCAGTCCTGTTACATCCAGTCGTGAATGGTGGTGGGCAATTAAACAACTCACTGGAGGAAGAGGCTCCACAAATATCCCCATCCTCAATGATGGAAGAGCCCAGCACATCAGTGCAAAAGATAAGACTGAAGTATTTGCAGCAATCTTCAGCCAGAAGAGCTGAGTGGGTGATCCATCTCGGCCTCCTCCAGTGGTTCCCAGCATCACAGATACCAGATTTCAGCTAATTCCATTCACTCCATGTGATATCAAGAAATAGTTGGAGGCACTGGATACTGCAAAGGCTACGGGCCCTGACAACATTTCAGCAATAGTACTAAAGGCTTATGCTCCAGAACTTGCTGCTCCCCAACTAAACACTTTGAGTACAGGTACATTGCTCGCATCTACTTAACAATTTCCTCATCTCTGTCTTAAATAAGTGCCCTTTCGCTTTTAAACTATGGCCGCCATTTCTAGATTCTCCCTCAAGAGGAAGCATCCTTTCCATATCCGCCTGGTCCAATCCCCTCAGGATCTTATATATTTCAATTAAGTCACCTGTGAATTTTCTAAATTCCAGAGGAAACAGGCCTAGCCTGTCTCGTCTTTCTGCTTGAGGACGTTTGTTTATGCATTCATTAGGTATTACCATAAAATCCTTCTGGTGCCAATAATGTTGGCGTAAGGGAAGGCAATATAATTAATTAGTTTTAGTTGCTTGCTACAAAGCCAGCCAGACTGTAGCCAATATGAAATACTTTGGGTAAACTAAATTAAATGATTATACTAACAGGCATGCTCTTAAATTTTAGCCAATTATGCTTTGAGACAGCTAAGAGTATTATTTTTACTCATTCAAGGGCTGTGGGTGTTTCTGGTTAGACCAGCATTTATTGCCCATCCCTAATTGCCCAGAGGTCAGTTAAGAGTCAACCACATTGCTGTGGATCTGGAGCCACACGTAGGCCAGACCAGGGAAGGATAGAAGATTTTTCTCCCTAAAAGACATCAGTGAACAAGATGGGTTTTTTTCCTGACAATCAGCAACAATTTCGTGGTCATCATTAGATTCTCTATTCCAGATTTTTATTGGGTATTATAGATTTTTAGCAGGTCCCAGAATATTACCTGGGTCTCTAGGTTAATAGCCTAGCAATAATACGATCACCTCCCCTTGATTTAAAGTAGTATCTTCCTTTGTTAGACCATAGTCTAAAAGTAAAGGAAATAAAATGATCTTTACAAAGCTAAGAGGAGACACAATGGAATTTTCAAAATCATGAGGGGTCTGGAATAGAGTGAATAGGGAGAATCTGTTGTTGCCTCCAGAAAGATAATGAACAAGAGGCTCAGATTTAAAATGATCTGAAACAGAGGCAAATGCAAGGTCAGAAAAATCTTCTTATTTTAACAAGTGGTTTGGGGGTGGAAGGAGCTGCCAGTAAGTGTGATGGAGTTCTACTGGAGTATCCAAGAGGGCATTCAACGTATCTATTTAAATAACCAATGTCCAAGTGTCTGGTGAAAAGGGAGGAACACAGCACTGAATTATAATGCTCACTTAGAGAGTAGCAGCAGATACGAGTGGCCGAATGGGCCTTCTTCTGCAGCATACCCAATGTGTGATGTTGGGAAGTCTTTGATCAGTCTGAACAGAAGCAAATCATTGTGAGGTGATGTGGCTCAGCTGCTGCCTTTTGTCCTCAGCAGGATATGGACTTCTCGACAACATGCTGGGAGCTTTGAGAAGTTGGCAAACCTTAGCCTGCTTGGGGGCAATCTGAAGAGAAAAGTAGTCATTGGGACATCCATATTATCAGCGGTACTCACTACCTAATCATCCCATTGCAAAAGCACATACATCCAGTCTCCAAGAATTGAAATCATTAAATAAGCTGGTTATGAATGTTTTTTGTCATTAGTGATAAGCCTAAATATGTACACTCATACATTTAGATATGTATGTAAAGATACATAAAAACATCTGCGTACACACATTTGCATCACTACTCAAATTGATGGCTACGACAAAGTAAATTCCCATGGAATTAACCATCTAGTCTACACTTACTCAGGATTAGATATTAAGAATTTTCAACAAATATTTTATCATATCCTAAGTGAAAGTTGTCACCCAAATAATTCCATCACTGGCATTCAACTAAATATTGATTTATTTAACAATCTTTGTTTGCATCATTCTTTTACGATTGAATTTCCACAGTCAGTTCATTCCTTCTTTATTCCTTATCTGCTGCAAGTTCCTACAACCGCATGTTTCCTATCCTTTGCAATGAAAAAGGTGTACATTTCTATAGTGCCTTCCATGACCTCAAAATGTCCCAAAGCACCCCACAGCCAACAGTGTTCTTTTGAAGTGTTGGCCCTGTTTTAATGAAGCAAACCCAGCTGCCACTTAATGTACAGCAGGAGACCGCAATGTGAATAGCATGCCTGTGTGTCGTCCATCATTACTGGCAGGTCAATTGTTGCAGGTTCCCATTTCCTGCTTCTGACTCTAAGGACTCACAAAACACTTTAAATACTGTTAGAGCCATAGGGCTCGACTGCTATTTGATACGTCGGCATTATTGAAGTGTCTTCAAGTTTAGCTGTCCCAGCTTTTGGTCTACATATCAGTTTTAGAAACTTACGGTCCATTTTATATCCTTTATTGATTGTAAAATGTGTTTGTGTAACCTTCCCCTCTCCACCCTGACGCCCAGGAAACTGATCGATAACATAAGATTTCAAGTTCACAAAAGGAAATTGGTATTTGAAATGTTGACTGCCCACTCCCAGGAAATTTTACCACTTGAGAGGAGAAGGCTTCATCTGTTTGCAAGATTGAAATAACCAGATTGAATGGGGACAAGTAAAACCTGGGTGTGTGCCAAAATTCTCCGACGGGTGTGTAAGGAGAGTGACAGCAAAGCTCAGTTGTGTGGCTCTGAAGATGGAAAGTATGATTGTAATTGGCTAAACGATGTGAAATACTTCCTTCACACTGCCTCACTCTAAGAAACATGAGAATGCAGATCAGGTAATGTTAATTGCTGTCTTGGGTACACAGAAACAGAAACACCACAAACCAGTTCCAACTCAAGATCACAACAGTTTTGAGGTTTCCCTTAGTAACCAAAAAGTCATACTCACTGTTCATCAGCTGCTCACAGACTTGTCTTGAAATTGCTCTCATCATGTTCTGGGGGGCAAAGTCACCCTGGAAATATTACAAAAAAAAGAAACACGTATCACAAATTTAATTATCTAACAGTAATAAATAAGAAAAGTTAGATCAGTCGTTTATCTTTCACTACCTTAATGCATTCCAAAGTGTTTAGCAGCCAAAGGCATACTTTTGATGTATGGTCACATTAAATTGAAGGTAACATGGCAGCCAATTTTCAAACAACGAGCTCCCACAAGCAGCAATGAAATGAATTACCAGATGTTTGTTTTTAGGTAATGGCTGAAGGATGGGTTTTAGCCAGCAAAGCATGAAATGTGCTGATTCCTCTTAAAGACTGCCATGGGATTGGATGCACCTTCCTGTAGTTTCATGTCTAATCTGAAGGAAGATATGTTTGACAGTGCAGCAAAACCTCAATAGTGTCCTGGAACATCACCCTCAATGATTGTCTGAAACCTTTGGAGTGGGGTTTGAGCTCACAAAATCCTCACTCAGAAGTAAGGGGAAGTCATTGTGGAAAAAAAAACTTGCCTTTACGCATTAATGTCCAAGACCAATTTCAGTCACAAACAGTTGTAAAGCAGTGAGAGAGAACTTACAATAAATTGTATTTAGATCTCTTGTTTTTAATGAATTTTACTCGGCAGTACCCAAAGTTTTAAGTTGTTTTACTTAAATGAGTTGTCCTCCTGCATCCTAAAGGCTACCCTTCACTTAGTCTGGTGCAGATAACGCACAATGAAACTGATGCTAAACTTTAGGAAAAGATGTAGTAATGTTACAATAAATTGAGCTTTGCGGGGGGTGGGGGTGCTGTGGGAGGTTCAACAGTGGCTCACAGCTGAGTGGTGCTATTGTTCATTTCAGATCAATGAATGATGGTGATTGTAAACTGTGAGGGATAACTTTCCCAGATTTTGGGATTGTAGGGTGGGCACTAAGTGGCAATACCATTGAGCTACTTCTGAATGCCCCCAGCAAGGGTGTCTGACTGTTTGATGGATGCCCACATCTCATTAATGCCCTTGAGCTACACATGCTGAGGCAACATGCACAGCCATCTGGGGTTAGCTAGATAGATTCTGTCTGTAACTCACAGATTATATTAATTCTCGAGTCAATTCCCACCTGTAATTCACACAGAGCTGAGTCATCAGCTCAAACAGCTCTTTTAGGAACTGGGGAACACTCAACAGATGCCTTCTTATTTTCGGAGATGCTGCACTACAAGCACAGATTGAGACACAAAATAAAACTGTGAGAAAAATTTACACTTACCCGGTCACCTTTCTCTCCCTTTGGACCAGTTTGCCCCTATACAAAAGAAAATACATTATTTTAATTGCGTTACAGCTTCAAATGTAACTGAATCACTTTGGCTTCAGTATGAAAACACCCGAGGGATCACATCAGAGGATTACCCAGTGCCCACAGCTTCTGAAGCAAGCAGCATGTGAACTTTGTACTGCCTGCTAATTTCAATGATAGAGGCATGTGGCCAACATTATGTTAAGTGCTGGGTGGCTAACCCTAACCTTATTGCAGGAGGTAGTGTAAAATTGAGAGAAGCTAGTATAAGTTAGAGCTAGCCTTCATTACTAAAAGCCACCTCCCAAGGAACAAAGTGCATTCTCACCGAAGCAAGTGCTGGAGATCATTCTAATTGATTTTGATATAGGGGTATATCCAATTTCAGTGTAAAATGGCAGAGAGCAGAATCCAAGATTTTCTAAAGCTGCACTGGAGGCTTTGACACATCAAGATATCAACAACGCATAGGTTTTCATAAGACTTTCCAAAAAAACTTAGTGGAAGCAATGGAACCAGATCACCTTGACATTCATTACCAGGTGTCTAATCCCAATGGTCCTGGATTCAGAACTAAGGGTTCAATGTTCTCAAACAACTGATCAAGGTCTGTCTTGGTATTTTTAAAAGCAACAACCTAATAACTGCACAATGAACGTCACACCCTGGATGCTGTGCTCTAAGAAGTTCAAGGTCCTTACCATGAGTGGTTAATGTCAGTGAAAAATCTTCACTGGTCAATCCTACCATCTTCAAAAGTAGCCTCAGTGCACCATGCTAACATCACCCACCGAATGATCATCTTTATCAGTGGCAACCCATATCTAACATCTGTAGTTTCACTTCAGCCCTCTCTCGCCACTGCTCTAAACATCGCACCTACACCTCACAACTTGCACGCACTGCAAAGTTTTCAACAACACAGCCCATGTCATCCAAATGGAATGCACCACACTCATTCACAAACCATTCCCCTCTCTTTTTGGACAACAGCTAAAGGTGGCAACATCTAACTGGCAGGGGACAGGCATGGTCGCATTTCACAGCAGAGATTACCACCATTGGAATGCTGACGCTGGGAACTGTGGTGGGGCTCAAACCAACAAAGTTGACCATTTCCCCAGGTATAATCCTCTTTCCCACGTCACCCTCATCACACAGCCTGTTGCTGAGAAGAGAAAGAGACACGCCATCGAAGCTTTCCGTCCTGCGCTCATCAGAACCAACACAAAAATATCAAATTTTAAAAGGAACAACAATTTATACTGTGTGAAAACAGGGTGCTGATGGTTGGCACTTGAGGCACTGCCATCGGGAATGCACCAAGGAATTTATCCTCAAGATTTTATCTGAATTCAAAAAGGTGTGTCAACTCTGATAAGTTTGCGAATAGGAAAAGTTTGGAAGGAAATGGGCCAAGCACAGGCAGGTGGGATAACAAGGTGTAGAGCTGGAGGAACACAGTAGGCCAAGCAGCAAATCAGAGGAGCAGGAAAGCTGACATTTCAGGTCTGGACCCTTCCTTCAGAAAATTCAGAAAACCTCACAGGCAGGTGGGACCAGTTTAGTTTGGGAACATGGTTGGCATGGACTGGTTGGACCATAGGATCTGCTTCCATGCTGTATGACTCTATGATTGGGTGAGACAAGCCATAGGGAACGGACTGAGAAACGATGTCCTCTCAAGATTTTGTTTAATTGAGAAGATGCAATGCCTGGACAAATTCTGTCCTCTTGCAGAGGACCCAGGCTCTGCACACAAGTATATAGTTTGTTAGTGGAAATGCTGGCACACTCAGGAATGTTGAATAAGTGCTTGCCAATCGTTGAATCACTCCTAGCGCTGGACATTCTGTTCTGAGGGTTTGAAAACACAGATTGGTTGAGTACAGTCAATAATCATCCTGTTGCAAATAGCCAAAAAGATGTGCTGTTTGATACGATCTGCCTGTCACTGGGACTGACAGCCAACAAACCTGGCATTACACCAAAATTGAAATTCATTCACCACATTACTCATTTATGTGGTAGGAAGAACGTCTTTTTGGCTAGACGACTGCATCCTGTTGGTTGGAAAAAAAGCTCTTGTGCTGCTACTGCATAGTAGCCCCATGAAGAGCTAACTTCACCTGCTGTATTAATCTGTATAGGTAGCCCTTGTTTCAGGTGACTGCGTTAATGTGCCCTATTCTGCCTTCAGGCATCCAAGGGGAACAAATGACTCAGGCACTATTGACAAAATTAACGATAAGGCCGAGCTGTAGCAATCCTGACATACATATTGATCGCTGAATCTGTTCCAATTTGTGAGCTGCAGGTGGACCACTGAAATTGCTTACCCCACTCCCTCTACCAAATCCTTGGGGCTATCATAAAACAAAACAAAGAACCTGCAGATGCTGGAAATCTGAAAGAAAAAACTAAAGTGCTGGTGAAACTCCGCAAGTGTGGGGAGAAATCAGAGCTAACATTTCGAGTCCAGCGACCCTTCTTCAGAACTAACGGATCTGACAGCAACTGAGATTAAACTCCAAACGTTAACTCCCTTTTGCCCTATAGTTGCGGCCAGACCTGCGGAGTTTCTCCAGCACTTTCCGTTTTTCTCCCCAATCTGTTTAGCTTTCTTCTTTCAGATTCCCAAGACAAGAGCAAGAAGGAGAATGACGATGGAATGCCACCAATTGTTCAGGCACTCTCCGCAGTCACCATCTTAAAGGATAATATTGACTTCCGATCAGAGGAATAAGGGTAGCCTAGGTGCTAGTTTGCTGTAGGGACCACAGGGGAGACCTGCTGCAGAGTCCTGGGATGGGGTGGCCTACATGAGAAGATTGAAGGATTTACCCAGTAAAATAGTTGATGCATTGACAAACCTGCTAGAAGACATGTCAGGAAGCCTGCAGGAGGCTGACAGTAATATGGCACACCAGGTTTGGATACCTTCCTTTCCAATGCAAAGTGGCAGCCAACTCCATGAGCGCACTGAAGTCCCCAGTCATGTTGCAGCATCCGACGGCCAATGCCGAAGCCTGATCTCTCTCGTGCCAGATGAGCTTGATGCCAGCAGCTGGGATAGTCCAAATAAATGCTCCGCTCACTCTGCAATCTATAGTTTCCTAACCCTAACCCAACGGCTTCCTATCAACCAAGCTACTGCTACAGGGGCTTGGGAGGGGGGCAGCAGGGGGGAAAGGTGGGGTGGCACAAGTAGCTGCACGAGGTAATGTGTGACCAATTTACTTTTTTTTGGTTTTTATTCACTGATGGAAAGTGGGTATCACTGGCTGAGCTAACATTTATTTCCTATTCCAAGTTGCCCTTCAGAAGGTGCTGAACTGCCTTTTGGAACCGCTATAGTCCATGTGCTGTGGTTTGACCCGCAATGCCCTTAGGGAGGGAATTCCAGGATTTTGACCCAGCGACAGTGAAGGAACGGCGATATATTTCCCAAGTCAGGACGGTGAGTGGCTTGGAAAGGACCCTGCAGATGGTGGTGTTCCCGTGTATTTGCAGCCCTTGTGGCTTCTAGATGGAGTGGTTGAGGGTTTAGAAGGTGCTGTCTAAAGATCTTTGGAGAACTTCTGCAGCGTATCTTGCAGATGGTACACACTGCTGCTACTGAGCGTCGGTGGTAGACGGAGTGGATGTTTGCGGCTGTGGAACCAATCAAGTACACTGCTTTAATAAAAACCAAAAGAACTGCGGATGCTGTAAATCATGAACACAAACAAGGTTGCTGGAAAAGCTCAGCAGGTCTGGCAGCATCTGTGGAGGAGAAAGCAGAGTTAACGTTTCAGGTCCCGTGACCCTTCCTCAGAACGTAGAAGTACGCTGCTTTGTCCTGGATGGTGTTGAGCTTCTTGAGTGTTGTTGGGGCTGCACCCATCCAGGCAGGTGGGGAGTATTCCATCATACTCCTGACTTGTGCCTTGTAGATTGGAATCAGGCTGTGGGGAGTGAGTATGCAGTATGGCTGTGTTTGATGCATAGATTTGTTTATAATGTTTATTTCATCGTGGCTTTTATACTGCCATCGTAGTCAAGCGAAAATTGTTAACATTTTGACAAAAAGCAGTTGCCATCAGTTTGATTTAGTATTAATCCTCAGCAAAGTGATACATGGGGTTGTTGACAGTGCTAACTAGCAGCACATATTTGGGAATTATTTGGCTGGATAGTTGGTTTGTGATGCAGAATAATGCCAACAGTGTGAGTTCAATTTCCGCACTAGCTGAGGTTACCATGAAGGACTCTCCTTCTCAATCTCTCTTCTCACCTGAGGTGTGGTGACCTTCAGGTTAAACCACCATGAGTTTTCTCTCTCTCTCTCTAATGAAGGAAAAGCCTTTGGTCTGCTCGGACTATGATAACCTTACTCAGAAATAACCAGCTCACTGACTTTCAGTTTGGGTTCACCTAAGGCCACTGATCTCATTAGAGACTTGGTCCAAACATGGATAAGCTCCCAAGTTTGTGCTACTTGTAATTCTATTTGAACCTCAATCCAACTTCCAAAAGAAAATGCCTGCTGCACCTTCACAATGTCTCCAGCTTCTTCTGACAAAATCCAAATCATTGCCATCATTACTCAACTAATTCATTCGTAAAAGTTCAGGTGGTCTGCTATCTGTATCCTCATGTCCCACTCACCCTTTACCCCCTGTCCTCACTAAAGTTCCTCACCATGAGTCCCCAAATGCACAACATTTAAAATATTAACTTCAGGTTTAATTCTGCTGTTTCTCTCTGGCCGTCTCCCTCACTTGAACACTTCACATCTTGAACTGTGGTCTCTAATGTATTTCTGTCAACTGAATTTGCTGTGCAATTTGCTGCTATGCCTTCAATTGTACTGGCTTAAAGGTGAGGAATTCCTTTTTTAAGCCCCTTGATCTTTATCTCTTCATCTCCACCTTTGAGACACTTCTTGGAATTCACCTATTATTCTCCCAATTCATGTTCATCATCTACAAGACACAAGTAAGGAGTCAGACTGATTGATCTCC